GTGCGGATATCAAACTATAACAAGTTAAAAAAAAAAAATCTGCATTAAATAAGGCCTTTGTGGAAACTCAATAGTTCCGCCACATATAGTTGTGAAACTTTACTGCAACTCTTCTGATATGAAAACTGAAAAGAGAGTTGACCTTATAACCCTCACGTCCAAACTCTGATCAGACATCTGGATCTTTCTTAAGCAGGAAATAAGAGTAACTTCCTCTTTTTCCTGTCAGTGCACACAGGTGTGCACACACACGCATACAAATGAACACCAATAAAAAAAGATGTCAGGAAAGAGAGAAGAGAAATCTTTACCTGCAGAACAGGTATTCAAACACACCCACACAAGAGGAGGCACCTTTGTCACTCACACACAAACATAACATTTGAAACACACAATCTGACGTACACGTCAGAACAAGTCTGTACCACATGTCTGGTATTCCTCTTGACCAAGAAGTGAGCACCGATTTGCATGTGGGTCTGTGCTCCTCCAGTTCATACAGAACTGTTTCTACACCATTCCTGTTCTTCTAGCTCACTTTACGACGCCACTGTTTACACAAATCTCTGCTTTTCTCTTACGTTAGGTAAAATAAAGGAAAAGAATATCCACTAACTGCATATTAAGACGTATACATTTCAAATGAACAGGACTCATAAACTGTTTTTCACTGTTTTCTGTTGATTCAAAGGCTGGCCAACAGACACATTTTTGTGTTTTAACAGCATTTAAATACCTATATTTCACTGTGAAGTAGGAATACACAAGTTGGAATACAAGTTGGAATACAGTCATAAAATGCTGCTTAGACAACGCCTAAAAACTGACTTTCTCATGAAATTCTCCTCAGTTTTGTCATATTATGACCTGCAAGTCGCCAAATCAAAGCCTTCTGCCAAGACATGTTCACCACTGAGATTGGAGGTATGATCTTGACATTGGAAACAGCAGTTATGATACAATCAAACGCATCAAACGTGAGGCTGTTTTGCCTGTTGTTTCAAGAATGAACTTCCAATCTTAACCTTTCATCAAACACGGATGAGAAGTCCTTTAAACTCATAACAACTACTAACAAACCTCAAGGTGGCATTATTTAACCACCCATATTTCTTGTGTACTGATTTCTCTACCCGACTCTCAAATTAGGTGAAATTAAAGACAAGAAAATCCAACAAAATAAGACCCACATGCTGTTTCTCATTGTTTTCTACCTGTCATACCAGTGGGATCTGATTTGGTTTGCAGGTCAAGGGTTAATATTTCCGTGTGAAGCAGGGCTGCAACTAATTATTAATTATCTTTATTATCAATTAATCTGTCAATAATTTTCTCAATTAATCGATTAGTTGTTAAGTCAGTAAAATGGCAACAAATATGAAAACATGTCAAAGGATGCCCATCACACTGAGGTTCTTAAAAGGTCCAGTTTCATCCAATCAAAAAGCCAAAGATATTCAGTTAATAATGATATAAAACAGATAAACAGGAAATCCTCACATCAGGGGAGCAGGGAGAAGCTTTTTAACATTTGTGCTTGAAATATGACAAATAATTGATTATCAAAATAGTATGTAACAGTAGTAGTAATAATTATAGTATCTAATTTCAGTATCATGATAAATTTCCAAGGAAGACAGAACAGGCAGGTTTAGCATGTTGCTGGGACCAATAAATTTGATTGCAAAAAAAATAAAATAAAAAAATGGGTGTGTCATTACAGTGAGGCCCTGACAGTGTATACCAACAGGACAGTAATATCTGCCAGATGGAGAGAGACACAGTCTATCACATGTTAAATGTAACATTAGCTGCTGAGACAGTCCACTGTAAAATGCCTTGCACATAATCTGGAGCTTTCCTCGAAGTGAGTTAATTTCAGCCAGAGGGCCGTAACCCCAGTGTTTTTGGGGAAATGAAGACACACTGATGTAGCATGCTGTTGCTAGCTAGCTAACTTAATCTTAGCTCCGTGTGGCGAAAAATTGCAGATTGATTGACGGATATTATTGGTTGAAACTGGTTGGTACTAGGTTACGTAACCACACGTCATATTTTGTTCTAGGAGAAGAATTTGGATTTTGATTCGAGAATATGAAGACAGTGATGGATTTTTTTGCATATATTTTTTAATGGGTGCACAATGTGGCCACGGCTGTGATCTCAAACGGTAAAAAAGGTATTTTTCACATTTAAGGACCGAATTTTTGACTGAACGATTATCAAAACAGTTGCCCATCTGTTTTATCTCAATGACCAATCAATTAATCGACCAAAGGTTGCTGCATCTACATGGGTCCTTGTGACATAATTTCATCATCAAGCCCACGACTGTCAAGCACACCAACTGCACATGCACTAGAAAACCAAACTGGATACTCGTTTGTACTCTATACTTTTGTTCTTTTGTTAAGCAGTCTTATACTTTTTTCTCTCTTTTTTTGACTTTCTCATGTTGTTCACTGAAATACAACAAACATAGGAGCTCTTTTTTATGTCAGGAGGTTGTCATGATGTTTCCTAGTAGGGCTGATCCATCAAACTTGATTGCTGTATCAATTTGATGATCAACAATCCAATATCACTGATGCAAAGTGAAAGCATCGATACATATCATCTTAAGGATATGCATTAACTTTGAAAACAGCGCCAGACTAACAATGACAAGCAGCCAAGAAAAAGATGGTGAGGATTATACACTCTGGAATAAATCAGCGATGCGAAAATATTTTGGATTTTAAAGAAAATACGGGTTAACAGACGGAGCACATGCCACATGTAAACAATGCCGTCAAGAGATAAAATACTCAGGAAACACAACAAACCTGCCTGGCTGGGTTTCTCACTACAGAGACATTAGCTGCTGTTTCAATGTTCAGCTGAAAAAACATGCATGCAGGCTGAAATTAAACCTTGCTGTTTTGAGGAGATGCAGTGATTTAAACCAAAAGTGAGTAAGAAGAAGTATAAATAATACATGTAATTTGTTTAGCTATGAGCAGAGGAGAAATCCGCTAGCTGCTAGGCTAATTTATGCAACGCAAGAGTGCTTAAGCTGATGATGTGCGATTAGCAAAAACAATTGTTTTGTCTATCAACCTTTAAAGTTATTACTGAGCTGAATTTTAGATTTTTCTTAAATGATGTTGCTGTTAATCCGTGTTTAATGGCTGCTGGAAGAAGTCTGCCTTCAGGGCTTTGAGCCAGATGGCCCTGAAGTTTTTTGAAACAGATAATGATTTGGGTTAAAATGAAAAGATCTTTTCCAGAAAAGAGCTTTCTGGCCGAAAGTCCTAAAGGTTAACTTATCCCATGTGCTGTTTTATGTTAGTGGAGTCAGATTACAGTAAACTTTACTGCATTTAAGCGGTTACAATATTTGAGGTGTTGTTTTTTATCTTTTCTGGACAAAAGCAAAAACAGAGGCAGCTTCTCCTGCAACAGGATATTGAATAAAACTGTCGTCATATTGTGGCAGGCTTTATGATATTAGCAAATATCATATCGTTGTCGTAGTGTTTTACACCTGCATTTGTAGAACATGTCTGTGTACATATAAACCCCAGACTGTGGTTTGTAGACGTCCACTGTCTGCAAGCAAATGTGCAGCTGTTTGCATCTGTCCTGAAGTATGATCAAGGCCTAACTGGTGCAGCTTTACCAAATTTAATCAAACTTGTCCTAATTTATTTTGCAGTTCAGCTCAGTGACAGCTGAGCAAGTGGATCTTTATTTAATTTTTTTTGTGTTACCCTAGATGCCTCTACCTTTGACATGCAAACTAGATCAGTACTCACTGGATAGCTTCTTTGTTCACTTGATCCACTGATTAACTCCTTTCTATATCTTCAGTGTGTGTGAACAAAGATCACTGACTAATAACATCACAACAATCCTTTGATCTCTCCGTTGTATTGGGGCCGTCGACAAATGTAAGAGTTGTCGGTGAATTGTTGGAAACTCACCACGAAACCTGACCTGACAGCTGCTCTACCTGTGCAAGGGTCTGACTGGTCTGTGCTCTCTAAAGTGTGTTAACAGCTCAGGTTAATTCACCACCACACTCTTAAGCTCACCACGGTCCAGGAGGCTGTGCGCAGTCACTCAAGCACATAAAGAGTTAACTTTGCTCTACCCCCAAAGCATTTCCTGTAAAACCACCACCAGAGCTGTGAGAAGTGAAGCCTCTGGAGATCAGTGGGACTTTTTTACTGTTGATAAAATTACACAGGTTTGCACAACTCTTCCCAGTCAATGATGTCTTGAGTAAGAGCCTAATGTGGAAACACTGGTCATTTTCTTCCTGCAGCTCACATGGCAGGTCACATGACAGATGAGTTGAGGTGGGTGTCTGAGATGGATCAGTGAAGAGGAGGAAGTGATACCCCGAGCACAACATTTGCTGCATTACTGTAGCGTGCATGTGAGTGAGGGGTGTCACTGTGTTGCTGCAAGGGGCCTGTTTGTGAAACCATTTTGTGCAGAGGTCCGTGTCTAGACACCCACACGTCACCACGACCAGCCAACCACCCACTCACGGACACACATCACCACCCACCCACACTCAAACCCACCATTTTACAATTTCAATCAGATGTCAGGCTCAGTGTGAGGGGAGAGAGAGACAAAAATAAAGCTCAACTTCCTGGTTTGTCTCTTCCTCCCATTTCTCCTTGGCCAAAACCAGACATCTCAGCTTTCAACCACTCCGCCGACTCTTCTACTCTTACATCTCACACTGTCTCCTCAGCTCGAGCCTCTCAGAGTGTTCTCACTCTCATTTATCACTGTTGGCAGGCACCTGCTTTGAGTTTCGACACCTGCCTGCCAACACCAACACAGCGTCAACGAAAGAGCCAACAGGTCACTCTAACAGTGTGCAGACCTGCGGCCCAGAATACAACAAACACACAACAACACTCCTTCAGACAGTGAACATCCGTCCACACACCCACAGCCATATGCAGCAGAAGGATTTGTGAATGAGCCACTGCTCTTACCTTGGCACTGGAATCCCTGTTTCCCAAAGCCCCTGTGGACAGAAAACAGGGATGAGAAATTTGGGGAATTCACAAAAGATGCACTGACAATGACGCATGCACACACACCAACAGATAGGCTATCGAATCACACATGGACACACACTCACACAGCACCACATCAACACACACACACAGCTGCAGCAGCAACAGTGGGGCCCTGTGTCTCTGTGTCTCCAGCTGCATTCCTCCACCAGACCCCCAGTTTCAGAGATGGGTGTCGGGTCGATGCGGTAAACGCCGAGCAGCAGCGCCTGCTCTGCGGCTGCCGACAACGCATCTCCCCCCGACAGGCCCGCGCTGCTGTCGCATTGTGGAAAACTGGGGGAATGGCGCATCGCAGTGTTTTTGACAATGACAATGAATGAAACACTGCGGTTGTCTGAACAGTGTCTGTGTGGAAGGAGGCCGACCGGAGCCGCAGCAGCAGCAGCAAGTGAATCACCTGTGTCCTTTCCCCCCTCTCACACACTCACCAGATGAAGTCCGTGCAGTGGCTGCAGAAGGTTGGCTGCTTGAAGAAGCGCGCGATGAACTTGTGGTTCTTCACCTCGTGCACATTCTTCTGGCGGAGGGCTCCCTGTCGGGCGAAGACGCGCGCGTTCTCCGGTGCCTCTCCGTCGCTGCTGGGGTCAGCCATCTTAACGAGGAAGCGGCGGCGGCGGTCCGAGAGGAACGAGGGGTGAGGAGAGCGAAGAGACAGAGGGAGAGACGACGGAGGCAGCGGGGGAGAACGAGTCGCGGTGCAGGTGCCTCCTCCTCCTCCTCTCCGCCCCGCTGACCGCCTCGGTGTCGCTCGTGCTGCCGGTGTTGTGTCGGTCTGCGTCCAGCTCGCGCTGAGGCTGCTGCTGCTGCTGCTTCTTCCGGCGGGTCTCCGTGCCGCCGCGCGCCTGCTTCCCTGTTCTTACCAATGTGTTGCTGCTTACAACTCTCCCTCTCGTCCCCCTCTATCTCTCTCTGATGCCCTGTCAAAACTACCACATGATTGCGCGCGCGCAGTTGTTTACACACCTATGCAAGCAATCCTTCAGCAGCAACACAAACCAAACCACAAGTACTGCATACTTTCAGTGTATGATTACAGGGGACACACACAACCACGCACACAAACACAGGGCTGTCACTAACCTGACAATGGCCATGGGGCCCCAGAGTCAGGGACCCCCAGAGCCCCTGGTTCAGATGGTTTTGCTAAATTCATCATGTGCAAATTCTTTAAAGGAATCAGGTCCTTCATTATTATCTATCTCTTTGGCATGTCTTGACAAGAAACCTGCCAAAATATAATTTTAGTTACGAGTGTATCTGCATGTAGCCTACCTAATAAAGCTGTGTTTAATCAAGTCACCACAATCCAAGAGATTGTTAATCCAGCACATCACTGGAGTTAAAGAACTGTTTTGGGAAACTGACTTTTTTGCTTTCTTTCTTTTTTTTAGATTATATGTTTTGAGTTGAGGATCATAACAATACAAAATAAACTAATACACCGACTACCAAACCAAACAATCAAAATAAATCCCTTCATCCATCCATGTTCATCCGCTTATCTGGGGCCGGGTGGCGGGGGCAGCAGGCTGAGCAAGGCACCCCAGACATCCCTCTCCCCAGCAATGCTTTCCAGCTCCTGCTGGGGGACCCCAAGGCGTTCCCAGGCCGGATGAGATATGTAATCCCTCCAGCGTATCCTGGGTCTGCTTTGGGCCTCCTACCAGTGCGACATGCCCAGAACACCTCCAACGGGACGCATCCTGATCAGATGCGTCCCGTTGATGTGTGTTGTTGTTGTTGGTGATGTGTGTCAATGCGATGGAGCAGCAGCTCTACTCTGAGCTCCCTCCGGATGTCTGAGCTACTTACCCTATCTCTAAGGCTGAGCCCAGCCACTCCATGGAGGAAACTAATTTCGGCCACTTGTATCCACGATCTCATTCTCTCGGTCACTACCCAGAGCTCATGACCATAGGTGAGGGTTGGGACATAGATGGACCAGCAAATCAAAAGCTTCGTCTTCCGGCTCAGCTCCCTCTACACCACGACGGTCCAGCGCAGTGCCCGTATCACTGCAGAAGCCGCACCAAACTGCCAATTCACACACAGACAGATAAGCAAAAATCAAAACAGACAAAACAAAAATAAAGATGAATAAATTAATAAAGGTTTACAGAATCACAGTTCTAAGGGGTAATTGGGTATGTTGAAGAGATAGTGGCATATTGAGCACATAAACCTACTTGGAGATGTGTTATGAGACCTCAGTCAATACTAATCCATACAGTCCACTCCTAAGGACCTAGGCCCCATCATTTCTAGTACAGCCCAGAAAAGGGTCCCAAATGTGAAAAAGTTGAATGGCTGGTCCTTGAGCCAGAAGCGTATAGCTTCTAAAGGTATAAGCAGTGCTCTGTCCATAGTGCTCTGGATCCAATATGAAACCATAGGGACAGTATCTGAAATCCGCTGAGGAAGAACACACCTCCGTGCACTAAAAAGAAGCACCTTAAGCAGCTTCAGTGAAGAGCGGCTAAGGTTCAGGGCTACTACTTTGTTGCTTTCTGGCTGAGAGTTGGAAGAGATGATAGATGCCACTGTCATGTAAATACGCAGCCAGCAGCTGATTAGCTAGGCTATAGCATAACACGTTTACACATTGTGTTCAAGTCTGACCCACTGAGACTCAAGAAAGTCTCTGCTCCCAGCAAAGAAATAGTCCCGCACATAACCCTCCTGTGAAGAAGCATTCCTGGCAAAATGGGAAACAGTTTTGTATGTCATCTCCCAGAGGTCCACAAACAAAATACAGGCCTACAGTGATGTATTAATATGTGAGGTTTACAGGTGCTGGTAGGCGGCTTTTGTTGCCTTCAGACAGAGCCAAGCTGTTCCACCCTGTTTCTAGTCTTTGTGCGGAGCCAGTGTAAATCAGCTGCTGGCTTTATCTTTATATTCATCCTTCAGAAATGAGAGTACTGTCAATTCTCTCATCTCACTCTCAGTAAGAAAGAGATACGTGTATTTCCCAAAATGTGTTAAATGAAGGTAAAATGGCAGTAACACGCTGCTCAGAGGCAGGTATGGGGAGCAGTAGGGGCCCATATAACAGGTTAACCCGGTCATGCTTACATAAGGGCAAAATCTGACACTACTCCAGGCCCCAGACCCTCGGGGCTCCCAAATGTCTGCATGTCAATCAGTTTTGGTGACTTTGTTAATTGTATGTTTGTTGAAGATGTTGCACCACTTACAAACAAGACAGCCAAGGCAGGCCCTGCATTGTTAGCCACTGTACATCATGTTGTCTTGTAGAGCAGTGCTTCAGGTCCTGAGGGTCGGAACCTCTTAAGTGTTAACAAGACTAGGATTACTGCCTCGAGGTTGAATGCCTCCTCCAGCCAGTCAAGTTGCTGTTTACATCCATGTTTGTCCAGACTCACATAATAAATGTAGTGAAGACTTTATGGAAATTTAATAAAAGCTATTAAGTGCATTTTCTTAAATTGGAAATTATCACTATTTTGACATGTATGATTCCAGTGAATAACTTCCAGTGTCTTTACTTTTTACAGAGAAGTACAGAGAACTGTAGCTTTGTCTTTGACTGGACCAACAAAAACAGTGCAGTTACACGGACAACCCATTTGTAAGGCTTATCCCGATTATGATCATATTCGGGATATGGTGTTCACGTGAGCATCGAGAAACCGTGTTATACGTCCCAATTTTCTTTCAGAGTACTCCAACTGGCGTATTCGGGTTTCTCATAAATGGAATATGGCACATAAACGGGATACTCCAAAAAACGATCAAATGAGTTTTTTACGTCCATGTAAACGCACTCAACTGTGGTTGTGGTGGACCACCAGAGGGAAAGGACAGAACACAAAGTTGTGGCCATGACAGTAGACAATGCTTCAAATATGGATGCTGCTGCAAAGACATGACAAACTCTAAAATGTGGATGCTTCACACATTTTAGCCAGCAGTGACCACTGATGCCCATGATTACCCCTGACAGTGAGTGATACTGGATACTCTAAACTGTGTTATCTATTGTTCTCATGACTACTGTCTGTATCTCAAATTGCCCTCTGGGGACATTAAAGTTTACCCTACCTTACCTCTTGAGGCCGGCAGCACAGAAGATCTTTACAATCAGAACAATTTCAAGATTACCAGTTCAGTATCTGAGTACCTCAGTTAAGATGTTTTTTAATGGCCAGAAAAGTGTTTTTGGAGAATATTATGATGTCATTGTGACTTTGACCTTTGACCTTAAAATGTCATAAATTCATCATTTTATCCCGTTGTCATTTGTGTGAAGTTTTGTCATCATTGGCGAATTAATTCTTGATTTATGCCCCTTAATGTGTTTTGAAGTCACAGTGACCTTTGACCAAGAAGTTGACATCAGATCACTGTTGAGTTCAAAGAGAAAAGTTGGACTCAGATTCTGATGAAATTCAAAGTCATTCCTAAGAAGTCATGTTTATGAGGAAACAGGTTTGGCTTGCTGTAATTACGCTTGTTCATACTGGTCCTGAAGAGATCTGCTCACAAATCAGTTTCAATGTTAGTGACAAAGGAAAAAATCCTCAGACCTCATTCTGTGTAAAAAAATACTCTCCAAAGTTTATCTGAAGCTAATGTGAGGTTTAAACGCCAGTGTTGAACAAATAAGTGAATAGCTTCCAAAGGTTTTTTGGTCTGTACAAATGTCCCTGTTTGTGTCTCCTCTGCAGCTCAGCAAGGACAGACTGCCCGGGGAACAAAAAGGGTTTGTAATGTTGTAATGTTTGTAATAAAAAGGCCATGGTCAACTTACAGTAGGTTCAGGAGGGCCATGCCTCAACCACACCCCTGGTTACCTGCCAAGACTACTTACACCTGGTCAACCCATCTTGCTCTGTTTGTTTCAGAATTTTCAACCCACCCTCCCTTTCCCTTCCCTTCACCCATCATCCTCCCTCATCCCTACCAACATTCCTCCATCCCCTCCTCCCTTCTTCCCTCATCTTTTCTTATTCAGTGTGGTGCATACCTCTCCCTTGTCTCATTCTAGGTACCTTCTGGGGGACCTGTAATCAGCTCAGGTGGGAAAAATGCCTGACACTGAACCCCCACGCTGAGTCTCCCTCTGCCCGAGCAACCTAACAGACGACATCCCTCATCCAGCTTCACCCCCACTTACATCCATTCACCATTCCTCAACAAATAACACCTCCAACAGCAAGGTTTTCTTTCTGTATTTCTTGTTATTAAGGGGATCCACGTATCAACAGTTTCAAGAGCTGCTTTTATTTTTGGTTTCGTGCTTACTTCTGGCATTTCCCTGAATTATTTAGCGGTTAATTAAAATAGCACACAGCAAACCACGGCCATGTAAAAAAAATTCCAGGTTATAAAACAAATTATTTAATGCAGCTTCAAAGCATTACTCTCAAAGCTTTTCTCTTACAAACTGAAAAAAAAATGCTCAAACAGAACACACAACCTTACCCAGTTCAGTACTGGTGGTGCTGCTTTACACTATCATCTGTTTTAGTCAAAGTTCTGCCGGTCTATTATGTATTTAGGTGCTGGGGTGTCCCTGTTGATTGACATTTCGATTACAGATTTTGCCTCTAATTTCCCTGGAATGGTCATGTTATGTGTAGGAGGTTATGTGTGAATGACAGACATGAATATTTGAACCTGTTATGTTACAGGATTAATGTGAGAAAGGGGTTTAAAGCTGCGTTCATCATCTGACACCTGCCCACAACTACAAGCAATCATACCAGCAATGATGCTGATTAGCTGCACAGATGCATTTAATTAAAAGATACTAATCTGACATAACACACATGATGGTGTAAGAAATCATGCAAAAAGTTTACACCCACTTTTACACCTTTCATTTATGCTGCAGCTCTAAATAGGAACACGCCATTTTGTCTCTGCCTCTGTGTACATCCCAGTTAAAGGAACCAAACACTTTGAACTTTTTTTTTTGAAAAAAAAAAAAAAAACAGCCAGGAAAATTAGGTAAGTATCTAATTTTACTGGTTAAGAATTTGCTAATATTTTTTATA